CGCAATCACATTTGGTTACTGTTCGCAATCGGCAATTTAAACAGCGTGGGCTAAAGTGTTGCTAGAACAGTGGTGTCTTTATTTAGCTCATTTTTGCAGAGCTGTCATGTTTGTCCGGCTGCAATTTGATGTTTAAACGAAGTAAATTGCGTTGCAGCTAGGGTTAATCATGCCGGCGCTCCACTTCCGGGTTGGACCTTTGGGACTTGTAGTTCTTTTGTTCGATTCGACTTGATATGTTTGTGTTGTATGGTTTCTTCCGTTTAAAATAATGAATAATGATGAAGCTAATAATACATAGTGAAATCATGGTTGATTAAAGTATTTGTTAAATGTATTGTTAAAATAAATGTATTAATTAATGTCAATTATATACATATTTACATTGTGATGCAGAAAGATATATTTATTTTTTACTGCATTTATGTGTGCTTGTATGGCAAGCCATTTGAGCATTTATTCCAAATCCCTGACATCAGACATGAGTGTGTTACACTAGTTCGATCTTTTTCAGCGATCTTTTTCAGCACTAGTTCGACATTCAGCTACACTCGTGGCACACTTTGTCGAACTAGTTGCATGCAAACTCCAACTAGTCATTCATTTTCAGCAACATGTTAACTTGTCAATCATGGATTATTCTAACGTGAACTTGTGACCCGTGATTTCCTGCACTAGTAAACAAGTGCGAGCTGAAACACTCACTACTTTTCCAGCAGCTCCTATATTTTGTTGTTCTACTTCTTCCATTCATAACTTTGCTGCTGTGAATTGGGAATTTCTCCATTGCGAGACTAATAAAGGTTTTCTTATCTTATCTTATCTTATCAGCTCCAGGAGTGACAAAACTTCTCGTTGAGTCTAAAAACATAGCTGATGAGCCACTTCGGAGGGAAAACAGTTACAATTTGATTAGTGTCCTCTTTTGGAGCAAATATGCTAATGTTCATTAGTAGAATTCGTGGATGCCAACCTGCTCACTAGTAAGCTAGTTGCACAAAAAATAATGAGGAGGTGGGGCAGAAATGTGGCTGCAGGATTCCTATTGGATCTGCAGTTAAAATACACCAATCGGGATTCAGATTTTGTCATAATCACACCCACTTCATTTGCATGTTTTACACTAGTTTACAAGTTGTCCTGAGGATTTGCAGCTAGTTCACGAGAGCACATATGTCAAAGTGCCGGCCCGCGGGCCAGATCTGGCCCGCGAGAAGGTTTTCAGTGGCCCCTGGGATAATGTTGATTTATTATTAGAACCGGCCCGCGGACCGCAGCAAGCCGAGAGCCTACAGATCTTTTACACGCACCAAGACTACATTTCCCACAATGCAACTGTGCCACGCCAAGCAGTCAGGCGCTTTTTTTCAATATTTACTAGTGCAGCAGTCGTTCGGATAACAGTGACGTTAGCTTTCAGATACCCATCAAAAATGGCAAAACGGAAGGTGGACACTGAGAACCGGGGGTTTCAAACAAGGTGGGAGTCAGAGTACATGTTCACGGACGTAGCTGGAAAACCTGTGTGTCTTCTGTGTGGAGAAAGTGTGGCCGTATTGAAAGAGTATAATCTGAGACGACATCATGAAACGAAACACGCAGACAAAAACAAGAATATGGACATCGAACAAAGGCTACAGAAGGTTGAGGAATTAAAACGAAGCCTCAAATCTCAACAGGCTCTGTTCAAAAAAGCCAAATCACAAAGCCAGGCTGCTGTCAAGGCCAGTTTTATTGTGGCAGAAGAGATCGCTAAATCAGCCCGGCCATTCACGGAGGGGGATTTCATTAAAAACTGTATGCTTAAAGTTTGTGACGAAGTTTGCCCTGAAAAAAAGCAACTCTTTTTAAACGTGAGCATGAGCAGAAACACCATTGCCGAGCGAGTAGAGCAGTTGTCCATTAATCTAAAAGAGCAGCTTGTGAAAAGGGGAAAAAATTTCATCGCATACTCCTTGGCTGTGGATGAGAGCGCCGACATTTCTGACGTTGCCCAGCTGTCAATCTTCATCCGCGGAGTGGACTCAAGCCTAAGCGTGACAGAGGAGTTTTTGGCTTTACATCCTATGCATGGCACAACTACGGGGCACGATTTATTTGAGGAGGTGTCAAGATGTGTAAACGAGATGGAGCTGCCTTGGGAAAAACTCGTGAGTTTGACAACCGATGGAGCACCTGCGATGTGTGGACACAGGAGCGGACTGGTGGCAAGGATACGGGAGAAGATGCTGGAGGAAAATGCCACATGTGAGTTAACATCTTACCATTGCATCATACACCAGGAGTCGTTGTGTGGTAAAGCCTTGAAAATGGAACATGCAATGAACACCATCACGCGCGCCGTTAACTTTATCAGAGCCCATGGTTTAAATCGCCGCCAGATCAAGGCATTTCTGACAGAGTTAGAAACTGATCATGGTGATTTGCCCTATCACACTGAGGTGCGATGGCTAAGCCAGGGAAAGGTGCTGCAAAGATGTTTCGAGCTTCGTGAGGAGATTTGTCTGTTCTTGGACAGCAAGGGGAAAGACACAACACAACTCAGAGATGAAAGTTTTTTGTGTGAAATGGCTTTTCTGTGTGACATTACGAGTCATCTGAACGCAATGAACTTGCAGCTGCAGGGTCGGGATCGTGTCATCTCTGACATGTACTTTACAGTGAAGGCATTTAAAACCAAACTGACTCTGTGGGAGGAACAGATGCGGGAAGAAAACTTGGGACACTTTCCTAGCTGCCAGACAATGAAAGAGAAGCTCTACCTGTGTGTTCCCAAAGGCACAGTTTGCTGATAAAATTAGTATGCTCGCCGCTGACTTCCGACGCCGATTTGCTGACTTCGAAGCACAAAACATCAGGTTTGAACTGCTCAATAATCCATTTGCTGTTGACGTGGAAAGCTCGCCACCAAACCTCCTAATGGAGTTGATAGACCTCCAATGCAATGATGCACTGAGGGCAAAACATGCTGCAATGGGTGCTGCGGAGTTTGCCCGTTTCCTCCCCGACACAATGGCCAAGCTGCGCCTCCAGGCTGCTCAAACGTTGTCGATGTTTGGCAGCACATACCTGTGTGAACAACTATTTTCTTTGATGAAGCTGAACAAAACATCACACAGAAGTCGACTGACTGCTGAACACCTTCACTCAATTTTGAGGATTTCCTCATCTCAGAGCCTGACCCCAAATATTGATGAACTTGTCGAAAAGATGAGACACCATCAAGTATCAGCATCAGCCTCAAAGAAGTGAATATCACTGTGCAATCACATGTTAAGTGAGTTAAGTTTTTACTCAGTTCAAGTTTAAAAATTAAAGTTTAATATTTGTTTTGACTGCATGTTCTCCTTGAAGGAAGTGTTGTTTTTGGTTAATATATTTTTGCACTTTATTTTATTGTATTTAAAAATATTTCATTCAGTGAACGAAAATTGCTTTTATTTGTTTTTCTTTGAAGTAAATTTAGCCTAATTTTGCTAAAAGAGAAAATATGGGTTATTGATGGTGCCTTGAATAATACTGGCTTCTTTCATTCAATGTTCATGTTATGGGTATTTTTACACAAAGAAACTTTGTCTTTTGTGCCTGTTGAAAATTAAAGTTTATTTGTTTACACTGCATGTTCTCCTTGAAGAAAGTGTTGTTTTTGGTTAATATATTTTTGCACTTTATTTTATTGTATTTAAAAATATTTCGTTCGAGTGAATGATCGAAAATTGCTATTATTTGGGGTTTTTTCTGTAAATTTAGCCCAATTTTGCTAAAAGAGAAAATATGGGCTATTGCTAGTGCTTCTTTTCACTCAATGTTGATGGGTATTTTTATCCAAAGAAACTTTGTCTTTTGTGCCTGTTGAAAATTAAAGTTTACTGACAGCCATAAGAAAATGTTGCTTTCTTTATTTGATCATATTGAAATGAAGTTGTTAGGTTTTCAGGAGATTCAATTCGGTTCAATAAACTACATGCGGTAGGTTTAAAAATTTTCAATGAACATTCGATCAGTCCGGCCCTCGGCTTGGAGCAAAATTTTTTATTTGGCCCTCCGTCCATTTGACTTTGACACCCCTGCACTAGTGGATGCCCATTATTGGTTACATGTCGACGAGTGAATCCAGAAATCCAAACTAGTAAACTAGTTGCAATCGATTTGACCTTACACGTTAACTAGAATGGTTTCAAAATGTGGACATGTTCACTAGTCAATGTAGCGATATCCACTAGTTACACTAGTTGGGCTCATTTTCACTTTACTTGTTAACTCGTGATACACATGTTTCCTCACTAGTAAAGTAGTTGGGTTCAGAGTGACACACTTGTTAGCTAGTGACACAGATTTTCATATCAGTAGTTAACTTGTGGAACGTATTTTGTCTCACTTGTCGGGCTCAATGCTGAACTTGTATAGACTTTGACTGAACGTGTTTGATAAAACTGGGCACTAGGTGACGTGCACACATCTAGTTTACTTGTGAAATAATCACATTTGGCGAGTTTACATGTTTGACAGTTATAAAACTTTACAAGTTCACTAGTTGTGCACACATGTCAACTAGTAAGCAATTTTATTTAGCTAGTATGATGTACATGCCAGCTAGTATGCCAAAAACATGAGCTAGTGCAACAAAAATCCCTACATGTTAGATATTTGTTGCACTCGTTGTGCACAGTCGCTCACTAGTGCTGATTAACACCAACAAGTGAAAAGAAAAGCCCAACATGTAGGAAAAATGTCAAACGTGTTCAGTCAAGTCTTGCACAGGTTCATTTCTTGGTCTGACTAGTGAGACAAAATGCCTCCCACTAGTTAACTAGTTGAATAAACACGAGTGTCTCTAGTGAACGAGTGGCTCACTCTGGACTCAACTAGTTTTCTAGAAAGAAAACATGCGTTTCACTAGTTCACAAGTGAGGTCAAAATGAGACCAACTAGTGGAAATTGTCGCATTTACAAGTTAACTAGTGAACATTTTGAACCTCACTAGTCAGCTAATAAGGTTTCGAAGATCCAACTAGTGCAACTAGTGGACATAATATGCCTTACGAGTGAGCTAGTGATCAAATTTTAAACTGACAAATTCACTGCTAAGGCCAGAACACCTTAACTCACATATGTCAAAGTACCGGCCCGCGGGCCAAATCCGGCCCGCGAGAATGTTTTCAGTGGCCCCTGGGATGATATTGATTTATTATTAGAACCGGCCCGCGGACCGCAGCAAGCCGAGAGCCCGCAGATCTTTTACACGCACCAAAACTACATTTCCCACAATGCAACGGTGACGCGCCAAGCACTCAGCCGCTTTATTTAAATATTTATTAGTCTAGCAGTCGTTCCCATAACAGTGACATTAGCTTTCAGATACCCATCAAAAATGGCAAAACGGAAGGTGGACACTGAGAACCGGGGGTTTCAAACAAGGTGGGAGTCGAAGTACATGTTCATGGACGTAGCTGGAAAACCTGTGTGTCTTCTGTGCGGAGAAAGTGTGGCGCGATTGAAATAGTGTAATCTGAGACGACATCATGAAACGAAACACGCGAACAAAAACAAGAACATGGACATGGAGGGGGAAGGGGGATTTCATTAAAAACGGTATACTTAAAGTTTGTGACGAAGTTTACCCCGAAAAAAAGCAACTCTTTTTAAACGTGAGCATTAGCAGAAACACAATGGCAGTGTTTCTGCAAAGATACGGCAGTGCGTGCTGCACAGTTTGCCCGTTTCCTCCCCGACACAGTGGCCCCGCTGCGCA